ACAGATGCAAGGACCGGCGGGGAAAGAGAGGGGCGCTGGAGGCCTGGCTGCCGGAGGGGCTGTGTGCCTCCTGGGTGGGATGGGCGCCGGTGCGGGGTGCACGGTGGCCCCTGGACGCTGCGCACTTTTGGAGCAGGAAGCCGAGTCCGCGCCGCTGGGCACCTGGCCACAGTGGGCCTCCTCGCCTGGCGGCGACCAGATAAATAGGTGAAGGCCTCCGGGCTTAGCTGGCCTGGAGGTGCCTGTTGTTCTAGGACGCCGAGCCGAGAAGGCCTCCGGGGACACTGGGCTCGCGCCTTGGCGTCCTGCCTGCGCTCGGAGCGGTTAGACTGCACCCGGATGGGCCCAGGGATGTTAGTGGGTGGAGAGGTGACAGGCACTCTGAGGGCGGGGGTCCCCCGGGGCAGGGAGGCGAGAGCCGGCTTGTCTCTAATAGGTGCCCGAGAGCCGCTAGGAAGGTGGCCTTGAAGAACAGGCAGGCTGGTGGCTTTGAGGTAGTTGGACGACTGAAAATTCGCCTGCTGAGAAGTGGGGCCATGGTCGTCAAGTTAGAGACTCTACCACGACCGCTGCGCTCGGCGAGCGCTCCGCAAATGAGAGCCTCTCCGAAGCTTGGGTCCTACAGGCTCCCCCAGCTCCGCGCTTCGCTTTTGCTGGTTTGCGAGGATGCTTGCAAAGGAAGAGCTAAAGGCTGCGAAAGCCCTTTGAGGACCCGGCCTGGCGCGGAGCGCTTACAAGTGAGCAGTAGAAAGAGTTGGGCTGGACCCTGGGCTAAGACGAGAAGCATCTGTGCGTGTGTGTAGCCGCCAATTTGAGCATCAGTAAAACAACTGCTATTTTGATATTATTGCTGCTATTTTGGACTGACTGTGAATTATTTAATACATGTGGCGCCCCGGACGTGCACCTTAGTGGGCTTAGACAGTTCGGATGCTCTTGGACGCCAAGTGTCCGTTCAGTGGGTGCCCGTGCTGCGAGGGAGGGCGTGGGCTAGCGCGTGAATGGGCGCCCTCCCGGACTGCTGTAGGCCCCGGCTTTTCGGCTCTGCTTCGCCGGGCCCCGCCTCTTAACTGCGGTCCCAGCCCGAGCCCAAACTGTTCCGCGGGGCGAGACAGACACCTCGTTTGGTGCACGACGCCCGCGAGGGCGCTTCGGGGCCTCCACCTGCCGCTCGGGCGCCCCCTCCCCGGGACGGGAAGAGGAGTCGCAGGCCTGCTCCAGTCCAGCTCTACCCGCCCCGCCGCCTTCCTGGGCTTGCCATGGGGGTGGAGGCGGCGGAAGCCTGCCGCCCGGGTCTGGGAGCCTTGTTTCCAGAGGCAGCTGCCCGCGCATCTTTGGAGGTGGCGCACTGTTGTAGCGCTGCTGTCCTCGCAGACGCCTTGTCGCCTCCGGTCTCTGGTTTCTAGCGCCATCCGAGCGGGCTGGGGGCCGGGGTCCAGGGTTTCAAGCGTGTGGGTTGAGTGCAGGCTCCCTAGGGGGCGACAGAGGGAAGCCGCTGACAACCGTCCAGCCCCATATCCTTGATTGTGCGAGGCGAGCGGCGAGGCTGCTCCCCGGGATCCCCACGTTCTGTTTACACTTGGCGTCTGCGAAGCCACGGAGGGTCGGAGGGGGCACCCTTCCCAGGTCGTGGCTGCCTAAGGGCGCGGCCACGCAGTCACGCGTCTTCGCGCAGCGAGGGGTGGGGTGCCTTGGGGGAGGTCTTTCTTGAGTGTGGGAGCTATCGGCTCTCTGCTCTCGCTCTCGGCTCAGAGCAGAAAAGTTGAGCTCAAGGAAGGGCTGAGATTTCCGGCATCCGGACCAGGGCGCGCGCGTGCCAGGGTTCCGTCCCTGAAGCAGAAGCTGTGCGTGTTTGGGTAGAGTCGGCCTGGCCGGGAAGGTTGAGGATTCGTTTGTGCTGCCTTCCGCATCCAGGGCGCAGAAGTTGCGCTCTAGCTTGAGCGCGTGTCCCTTGGAGGGGGGCAGCGTCCAGGTCCAGGGCGCTGGCTTGGGAATGAATGGCCTTTGCCGAGCGGTTCCGAAACCTCTGTGCCCTTGGGGCTCCCTAAACGGAGGTGCGCAAACCCTCGGGGCCCATCGGCTCCCTTTGCCTCCGCCGTAGACGCCCCGGGGCTGCGAGGGATTTCCGTCCCTCCGGGTGGCTTTGACGAGCGCTGCTGAGGAAAGGAAGGGCAGCCAGGACCTGGGGCGGGGGGTTGGTACCTTGTTGCCCAGCCCTGGACCCAACATGCCCGGCGGTAAAGTTGCAGGCGTGGACGAGACAAGTTGTTCAAGCTGCATCCCCGGCCGGGTCTTGGAGTCAAAGCCGGGGCTAGAAGGCCCTGCGTGGAGGACAGCTCCTGCGTCACTGGTCTGGGTGTCTGGGGCGCCCAGAGGCTCCGCAGCCTCCCTCGAAAGTACCTGGGACCCCAATCTTCCACGCCCAGGGCGCCAGCATGCCTACCGCACCGGGTCCGATTCCTGCCCGGAGCAGGTGCCCCCTGACCCCACTCCCGAGTACCAGGAGCGCAGCTTCTGCGGTTTTCTCTCTTACCCCCCGTCCCCTGCCCCACGGTGTCTTGAAAGCTAGGTGTCAGGGGTCGTGTGTGCACGGTCTTTGTACCTCCTACTGCAGAGCCCGCAGACAAGCCCGAAAAGCCCCCAGTGCTTTCGCCTCCAGGTTTTGTTCTCACAACTGGTCGGAATATCACCTGGAATCTGTCTACCCTCTAGGGCGAGGAAGAACCTTTCGCTTGGAAGACGCCTATTTTTATTTTGGCTATTTTATTTTAGGCCCATCTCGGTTTAAAGAAATGCTAAAGTTCAAACAAACCCGAGCGGGAGTAGGGAAGCAGTGGGTGCATTCATTCTGTGAATTGGGAGCAGCGTCCACTCCAGGCCCGGGGCACTAAACTGATAGGTATTGATTATTGCAAAATCGGATTCGGAATCAAATCGAAAGATTCCTTCTCTGATTCCCTGAGAATGTTTAAATTCAGCTCCCGAGAAGTAGCGACTTTCCCCTTGCAGCAAAAAAAAAAAAGGTCAATTACAATAATCGGACCAATGGATTTCGTTTCTTTAAAATGTTTCAGCATTGCGCTTTGCTGTCAAGGTTGGGGGCCAAATGCATATTGTGGGGAGAGGCAACGTTTATGTGGAAGGAAGTTTCGTTTTCTGCCTGTATCTGCGGACCCCGGGTGCTCACCTCTCCAGCGGGGGTCCCTCCACGGCCCCTCCTCGTCCCCCCACCTCTTCCCTCGCCCCCGCCTGTGACGCTAGGGTTGCATTCAGCCCCGCACCTCTTTTCTCGGTTGAGTTGAGGCTTCTGAGTGCCTGGCCCGTCGGAGGAAGCTGCCGAGCCGGCGCCGGGCAGGGCAGGGCCGGGCGAGGGTAGGCGGGTGCCCCCCCACCCGCCTCCCGGCCGCAGCCCAGCCTTGGAGATGGAGCTTCGGGCGATGGCGGCGAAACGCAGTTGTCCGAGACTTCGGGGCCGGTGGAGCGGCCCGCCCGCTCGGTGGCGCTTGGGGCCGACTCCCCAGAAGGCCTTCCCACCCCCGCCCCCTCGGAGGACCCCGAGCGCACTGTGCCCACGCCGTGCGGGGGAGGGCGTCGTCCCTCGGAGGGATTGGGACTCCAGCGGCCTGATTCCAGTTTAAACCTTAAATCTCCTTGGAGCGGGTGTTTGGGACGTTTTAGGAGATAGGGGGACCTCAGCTGTTGAGACGTCTTTTGGAGGGTGGGGGAAGGCGCTGTCGGTGAAAGAGGGGGGGCTCTTGGGTTCGGATCCCGGTCCCCAGCTCTGCCAACCTCAGGTGTGTGCTTGGTGAGGGTGACTGATGGATGGCGTGATGGGGGACGCTGGCCTCATAGGTTTGCGGCTGTCACCGAGGTGCGGCCCACTCGACTCCTCTCCTAAGCCCCCCCGAGGCGTGGGTCTCCGCGCGGCGCCGGGCCAGGATGCGGGGCGGAGCTAGGCTGGGACTGGCTGGGGGCCGCCCCGCCCGGCGCCGGGGCCTTCGCGCCGGCCCCCGGGGAGGAGTTATGATAATTTCTTCTCATTAAGGCGCCCGGATCCCGCGGCTATTGCCTGGACACACACTGCGGGCGCGGCTTTCCCGGTCCCCGGCCGCGGCCTCTACACCCGCGGCGGCAGCATCTACAATCGCGGAGCCGCCGATGCGCGTCCAGTGACCGGGACGGCTAGGCCCGCGCGCGGCGGGGGCAGCGGCAGACGCCCGGCCACCGTGACCCCAATTTTGGATTTACCGCTCGGGGGGTGGGGGGAACCTGGATTTAACTGGCGACTGTTTTGGGGGACGCCGGACGCCATGTTGTGGAAAATAACCGATAATGTCAAGTATGAAGAGGACTGCGAGGTGAGCTGGGCACAAGGGCGCAGCCTGGCCCCGCCCGAGTACAGTCCCGGAGGCGCGGGCCACTGGACCGAGGTCGGGGGCGAGGGCGCAGGAGCAGCGAACAGGCACCCACCGCTCGCCTTTCGATGGGACAGGGTCCACTTTTCCGGACATTCCCTAGTGCGTTTCTCCAGGGTCCCCTTCCTGAATCGGGCCTTTACCTAAATATCCAGTCTCGGGAATGGGGCCTGGAAAGAGCATAGCAGATCCCACCCACAGAGCTTACCGGCCGGTTTCCTGAGAAGCAAAACAGCCCTTTTCCACGTTTTCTCGGAAGAGCGCTGGGTCTGCAACTTTTAGAGGTGGCTTTTACGCACGAAACCTCCGTCCAAAGGGGTCAGACGAGGCCACCTGCCGGCGACACCTTTGCGGAGTCTTCTCCGAGGCGGGCTTGTCACCTGCCCCGCTACCCCCTCGGGGAAACAAGAAAACAACCGAAGTTTGGCTTTCCAGAGAAGGGGGGGGCGGGGGGGGTGCTGAGGCCAGATGGGGCCGTAAGCGCTCGGGAGTGCTCCAGCCTGTCGGACAGGTTGAGCTAGAGTTTCGGAGAGTGGGAGGGAGGGAGGCGGCGAGCGGGAAGAGGAAGGAGACGCAGGCGGCGCGAGGCGTGAGCCTGGGCCCCGGGAGAGGGGAGCAGTGGCGGCGGGGACGCGGGCGAGCCGTGCGCCCGCGGGACCTAGAGGGGCTGCCCCTGTTTGCAGGCCCGGGCACTTCAGCTAGGGGGCGACGGTGTCATAGCTCTCCTGGTCCCCCGCCACCCCTGTGACCCCGGGAACACATGGCGACACGTCCTTTGAGAATTAAGTCGGACAGCCGTGGGGCGAGGGAACGTGCGCAGGCAAGGTTGCCCAATTTTCGGGGTCCTTCGTTCTCTCTCCGTGCCCGATTTGTGGGGAGACTGACGGTGGCTGGGCAGGACGGCGTTACTTGGTCGGGACACAGCTAGCAGGGAGCGCACCCCTGGCTTGGGCGGGCTCCTCCCCGAGTCCCTTGGGCGGCGTTGGGTGGCTGCCCCCGCTAGGGAGGGTCTCTCGCCCGGAGGTCTTTGTCCTGAGGGCGTGGAAGGGAGGGTCCCTGGGGCGGGGAAACGGCGCACTTCCTGCGCGGCGCGCATTATCCGCGCCCACCGCTTCCCCACTTTGGGCCGACGACGCCAGCATGTGCGGGCTTGTGAGCGACCGCGCTCTGCGCTGCCTGCAGGCTTTCTCCCCGGACCCCTGCCCCAGCTTCTCCCGGCCCAAGGCCTGGCATTCGGACTTGGAGCCGCAGAATACCTCGGGCGTCAGACCTTCGCCGCGGGGCCCGGAGGGCACGTTCCTCCAGGTTTTTCTCCAGGTTCCCCTTGCGGACTCGCGGTTGACAACGAAACCCGCGGGGCACGTTGCTCCCTTTTGGCCCGAGGGCAGGCCCCGCGGGGGTCGGTCCGGGCTGGTGCGGTGGGTCCCCGGGGGTCACAAGGCTCAGCGCGGTGGCCGCGGGCCGTGCGCAGTAGCAGGGTTTCGTACTAACCGGGTCCCCGTTTCTCTGCCCCAGGATCGCCACGACGCGAGCAGCAATGGGAACTCGCGCCTGCCTCACCTCCCCTCCGCCGGGCAGCATCTCTACAGCCCCGCGCCGCCCCTCTCCCATGCTGGAGTCGCCGAATACCAGCCACCACCCTACTTTCCGCCTCCCTACCAGCAGCTGGCTTACTCGCAGGCAGCCGACCCCTACTCGCATCTGGGAGAAGCGTACGCCGCCGCCATCAACCCCCTGCACCAGCCGGCGCCCACCGGCAGCCAGCAGCAGGCCTGGCCGGGCCGCCAGAGCCAGGAGGGGGCTGGGCTGCCCTCGCACCACGCGCGCCCGGCCGGCCTGTTGCCCCACCTCTCCGGGCTGGACGGCGGCGCCGTGAGCGCCCGCAGGGACGCCTACCGCCGCTCGGACCTGCTGCTGCCCCACTCGCACGCCCTGGACGCCGCGGGCCTGGCCGAGAACCTGGGGCTCCACGACATGGCGCACCAGATGGAGGAGGTGCAGGTGAGCGCCTCGGCCCTGCCCGGACCCGTTCGCCCCACTGCCTCTCCCCTACCCTGCCCAGGCTCCCCCGAACTTAAAGGAAACTTTGTCATTTCTCCCCCAGAATGTCGACGACCAGCACCTACTTCTGCATGATCAGACGGTTATTCGCAAAGGTACGGAGTGAGCGCGAGTTGTTTTCTTCCTCTGGCGTCACACACCCTGTAGTGGTTCTTAGCGGTACTGGGAAGTTACCAACTTATTGGTGAGGTAGGGCTTTTGGTATCCGACTTGGGACATTTGTGGTGGAAGGGAGTGACAGGGACTCGAGGCAGGTAGGTTTTAGGAGTGAGAAGACGGAGCATTTCTTTAAGATCTAAATGGAAAAGGATGCTCTCAGGAGCTGCCCCTCAATCTCTGGATTTGTTACTCCATAGTTTTCCCTTGGTGGGTGTTACTTCTTGAATTCGAGAGCGTTTTTACAATCCTCCCGGAAAGAATCCCAGAGTGAGTTAAGGCTGTGACTTAATTTGGAAGACAAGTCACCGCATACCTTAGTGGAGTGATTGGTTCTGTGACAATTTTAATTGTTGAACGGGTTGATGTGATTTTATTTCTGATTTCAAATACGCACAGGGGTAAGGAGCCTTAATTCTGGGTTTATGCAGGGGTGAGGTGGGCGGGGGTTTGGAAAATTGGATTACTTGGGGCGAGTGAGTGGCTCGTGAAATTAAGTTACCTACTGCCAGGATTCCCAGTTTAGCTCTGTTGGGAAACGGGGTAATCCTAAATGAAATGTAGCTATGGTCTGTTACTTGAGGTTAAACTGTTTGAAATCAACTGAGGAAAAATGGATTGGGGGGGGGGAAGAAAGAAAACCTCAGAAAATAAACTGAATTTCCCAGTAAACTTAGAATAGGTGTGTTTGTATTTTAAAATTTACTGTGATCAGTTGCACTGAAAGATTTTGCCAGATGAAAGTGTTAAATCGTGAAATTCAGATTCGATTATCTTTGAAGAATATGGCTTTTAAAAAATCTGCTTGCAATTTATAGTCCAACATGCAGTGTTAGTTGTTCAAAGAGCTCTTTCAGCTTTGGTTAGTGGTTTGCTTGGGAATGCCACTTCTGATCTTCACTCACAGGTCCTATTTCAATGACGAAGAACCCCTTGAGTCTCCCTTGTCAGAAGGAGCTGGTGGAGACTGTGATGAATCCCAGCGAGGTCTTCTGCTCGGTCCCTGGAAGATTGTCCCTCCTCAGCTCTACATCTAAATACAAAGTGACAGTTGCTGAAGTCCAGAGGCGACTGTCCCCGCCTGAGTGCTTAAATGCCTCATTACTGGGAGGTGTCCTCAGAAGGTACATGGGGACACGTTCTGGGCATGGCGGTTGAATGGTTGGGGATGAATAATATAAAAGGACCAGGGAGATAGTTTTAACATTTATGGAACTTTTGTACCTAACCCTGAATTCTCATTGGCTCAGGGAGTTTTAGTACACGTCTTCTCTTTTAGAAAGTGCCAAATGTAGAAGGAAGTGTTAAAACAGCGCTAACAAATTCTCACTTGGTTAGGATTTGATTCCTTGTATGAAGTGGTAGCATCTGTATTCAGAGTAGAGGAGCTCCATGGGCCTGGTTCCCCCAGGGAGTTGTTTTTTTGGGGGGCTGCTGCAGTTTCTACAAGTGAAAATTTGTCTGCTCTGTACAACTTGCAATGTTCTGTGATTAAAAAAAAAAATAATGTTGGCGATGCTAAGAAAGATTTTTGAATTTTACAGGGATTAACTAATAAGGATTCCCTGTATCACTTGATTATGAGCCATATAATGTAGATTGTTTCTGACAGATTTCTGTTTTGTAAGCAGCATGTTAGGCATTTAGAATTTTAAAGTGGTTTCTTGAGAAAAGAATTTTTATTTTATTATTATTATTATTATTTTGCTCAGAGCCAAATCTAAAAATGGTGGCCGATCCTTGCGGGAGAAGTTGGACAAAATTGGGTTGAATCTTCCAGCGGGGAGACGGAAAGCTGCTCACGTCACCCTCCTGACATCTTTAGTAGAAGGTCAGTGGAGTTGTGCTTTTCTTTTGCAGTGTTTTCAGTTAGTGCTGTGTTGAGTCTTTAATATTTCTCTAAAGAAAAGGTTAGGGACTTCCTGGCGATCCAGTGGTTGAGACTTCGCCTTCCAATGCAGGGGACGTGGGTTCGACCTCTGATCAGGGAGCTAAGATTCCACATGCCGTGGGGTGCGGCACCCGCCCCCCCCAAAAAAAAGGTATAAGAAAAGGTTAAAAACAACTCTTAGTCACAAAAGAGAGATGCAAGCGATTTTGCCACGCGTTCATTACAATGAATCACAGTCATTTAATCAAATAAGTTAACATTTAACAATCTATCTGCTGAAGTGTTCTGTTCTGGGTCTCCCAGAAAATCATTGTTAAAAAGAAACTGGTTTTCCTAAGACATCACATTATCAGATGAACCAGTTTTTGAAGGATGCAATCGATCATTTGGTACACCTTTTTTAAAAAAAGCTGGTTACTGGTGGGCAGTGGGACCGTTTCTAGTTTTTGTAGCTGTGGAATATTCGAACTGTGGTCAGTGAAGAGAAAAGCCCTTGTATACAATGAGACTAGCCCAATTCACAGTTCCTTTGTTCATTTCCCCCATCAAAAAAAAAAAGTAATGGGGCCCACAGATGAGCCCCTCTCCCCAGTCCTAAGATAGTTAGGATGTGACATTTCAGTTTCTTGAATGGACCTGCGCCCCGAACCTGGAAAGTAGCCAAGAATGCAATACGGCCTTTTACAAAGTGGGCGAGGGAAAAGTGAAATAATTATTTTTCAAAACAAAACAAGCTCGTTGTTACTGCGCACAGGAAAATGAGTTGATGAACACGGAGGGGCTTATCCTTAAGCCTGGAGCGGCCGCCAGCACCTCGCCCAATCAGCAGGGCGCTGGGCCCCGGCTCGGGGCCGGGGGAGCCAATGAGGGGTGGTCTCCTGGTAGCCAGGCAATCTTTTGAACACTTTCTTTCCCTGGTCTAAATGGCGCGACTGCGGTGCTAAAAGAGACTTGGCAGGGCCCTGCTCTACCTTTTTACGAGTGTCTTTGGAGGTCAGGGCAAGGAGAAAGGAGCTGCCTGTTCGATGCTGTTGGGGACCAGCTGTCCTGCATGGAGAATGGTGGATTCTGCGTTCGTGGTGCATAAATGCGGCTCCCCTAGGTTTCCTTACCAGCCAGGCAGGGGTGCTTGAATGAGAAAGCGTGTGCCAGAACAATGGTTCTCAGATGTTGATTTAGTGAGTCGGGGAGGGAAGTGGGGATGGTGGGTGAGGTCCACCATCTGGGTTTGTAAAAGCTCTAGCAGCCCCAAATCTTGGAACCAGAAAGAACCCAGCGCCTCCGGTGGGAAATGACACCCTCCCCTCGTTTTTTCTCCCTCTGTGCCCCACAATACCTGAGACGAGAGGGTAGGTAGGGCTCCTAACATTTCCAGTAGGAAACACTCCTGCTTCTCTTTCTTAAAGCAACATTCTAGAGACTTACCTCCACCAGTAATGGGGCGCCCTCATTTAGAAACAAAGTTCCGTGTCAAAGACTTTTGTCCCAGTTTCATAAAGAAAAGTGACAGTTTGCTTCTTTGTCAGTCATGCTCACCCCCCCTAAGTTTTCCAACTTCTGTACTACTGATGGATGCTGGATGCTGTTTTATCAGCGAGAGGAACATCTGCTCAGGTTGGGCAGAGGACTGGGGTAACATCGTTTAAGTACAGTTAAAATTTTCAGGCTTTTTTTTTTTTTTCCCTTTCTCACATTGTGTGATTTCACCCTAGGGGAGAGTACCCACTGAAGGTACCCAGGAAGTTGCTGCTTACTGGCTGGATTGTTGTCGCTTTGTATGATTGCATTTTAGAATGCAAAATGACTGCTAGACCAATACCGATAGTGCTGGAAAAAGAGGGAAGGGACAGTTTGCCTTGGGGACCACAGTGGCCCTAAAGTCTGTTGCCATTGCCGATTATTCTAGGTGAGGCTGTTCATTTGGCTCGGGACTTTGCCTATGTCTGTGAAGCAGAATTTCCTAGTAAATCCGTGGCTGAGTATTTAACCAGACCTCATCTCGGAGGACGCAATGAGATGGCAACTAGGAAGAATATGCTGCTGGCTGCACAGTAAGTATCCAGGCTTGAGAATTTGATGCCCTAATGCTCTGACCTTGCAGCTGAGGGGCCAGCACAGTCCCTGGCGCTCAAGCAAGACAGGCTCCTTAAGTAAGTTAGGGTGTTGAGCAAAAGGGAATGGCAAGGAGCATCTTTTACAGAGTCAGATTAGAGTAACTTTGTAGGATTTAGAAGAATTAGAGCAGTGAGTGTATTGCTCAGAATGAGCGTTTTTGAGCTGTTTAGTTATTCAGCTCAAACTAGTTAAGCTACTCTTTCATTATCTTATTTGCATGTCTTACAAAAACGTGTGTTGAAGACAATTTATTTTATCACATCCAGTCAAGATCATGCGCCTTCTGCCTCCTGATAACAAGATGTTTTTGATTTTTAAAATGTAATGATCGGGTTGTGTGTGTAGGAGACGAGGGCAAATTCAATGTCTCAAAACGACTTAATGCAGCTGAGGGATTTCTCATAGAAACCAAGAGTAAATGGATTTTAAAATCATGGTAAATGAAGCAGAACTAGCCTGTTTCAGGGAATTGAATTCAGGGATCTTGACAGAATTGGTTTAAGGAACCAATCTGCATCAAATAAAGCTAGCCCTTACTCCTGGGCTGGAATTCTGACTCCACCTCTTACCAGTCCTGGTGACCTTGGCCAGTTGATTCTGGCATTAATCCTTTTATCTTTTCTAATTGCAGTGAGGATTAAATAAGATAGTACTTAAAAGAGTTTAGTTCAGGGCTTCCCTGGGGGCGCAGTGGTCAAGAATCCGCCTGCCAATGCAGGGGACACGGGTTCAAAGCCCTGGCCCGGGAAGATCCCACATGCCGGAGCAACTAAGCCCGTGCGCCACAGCTACTGAGCCTGCGCTCTAGAGCCCAAGAGCCACAACTACTGAAGCCCACGTGCCGCAACTACCGAAGCCCGCGTGCCGAGAGCCCGTGCTCCGCAACAAGAGAAGCCACCGCAATGAGAGGCCCACGCACCACAACGAAGAGTAGCCCCCGCTCGCCGCAACTAGAAGAAAGCCCACGTGCTGCAACGAAGACCCAATACAGCCAAACATAAATAAAAAGTTTAGTTCAGGGCCCAGCACAGAATAGGTGCTAAGTGCAGCAGCTGGCTATTGCTATTAGTTTAAAATCTACTTCTTGGCCAGCCCCAAATTCTCGGTGCCTCTAGGTGTCATCCCCACACTAGTTGGTGCTATTTACCTGTCACGACTCAGTGGTGTGTGTTGACTGTCTTTCACAGGCAAGTGTGTAAAGAATTCACAGACCTTCTCAATCAAGACCGAACTCCCAATGGGAACAACCGGCCCACTCCGGTCCTGGAGACCAGCATCCAGAGCTGCTTGTCTCATTTCAGCCTGATTACCCATGGGTTTGGCAGCCAGGCCATCTGTGCTGCTGTGTCTGCCGTGCAGAACTACATAAAAGAAGCCCTGATGGTCATAGACAAATCCTACATGAATCCCGGAGACCAGAGTCCAGCCGATTCTAGCAAAACCCTGGAAAAGATGGAGAAACACAGGAAGTAAGACAGGGGTGAACAAAGGGCCGAAGAGTCTGGAAGGAAAAGGACTCCAAAACCGGTCTCGACTAGGACAAACTGGGAACCCCGCTTGCCTGGGGGACAGAGTTCGTTATCCACCTTCCCGTGAAAAGGGCCTCCGTTGGATTTCTAGATCTTCACGTGCCCTCCTGGATTCCTTAGTATTTAAGGAGTGCTGAAGTGTCTCCTAAACTCTGGACGAGCTATCAGGAGGTGACAAGTGCTGGCTCTTTACCCATTAAGCTGATATTTTATTTTTTGGAACCCCATTCTTCCTTTCTCTGAAAAGTGGTGCTACAAGTTTTGGAACCTTTTAAATAAATTCCCTGGGCTAACAAAAACCCACACACACATAGCTGTTGAAATGTCAAATTGATGTGATTCCGATCCACAGTAACTTTCAGTGTTAAGGTAAAAGTATTTATGTACCCTCTTCAGTCTCATCCTACATACCACAGGAGGCAAGGATTCTATCCGCCTAAGAACTGGTTAATAGGTGGTATTTGACACACTTTAAATCCCTTGTTCACAGGGACCCTTCGGGTTTTACGAAACTTGTAGAAGCAAAGCCTGCTGATGATTTTATGTTTTTCTTTTTAAGAAAAAAACAAAAAAAACCTTGAAAGTTAACTCTTCAAATAGGAGGAGACGCTTTGAAAAGACATGTTCCTTTAAGGTACGGAAGCTTTATTTTGCGTATTTATTTCACATCTTGGTGTTTCGAGAAAACTTGAAAAGGGGTGGGCAGCAAGCATTTTTTTTTTTTTTTTTTGCTGTCTCTCATCCCAAGTCCCAGAGGAGAATTCTGTATTTTGAGAAGCTGCGTTGAGTGTACAGATTTTATTTATGCATAATTTAATGGGGTCTGTAAATACGGGTGCACTTCTTATGACTTTTTGAGAAATGGGATTCAACTTTCATATTAGCTTTTAAAGGTGACGGGGTAATCTAAGACACATCTTTAGGCTTTATTCATATGTACACAGGGTATTAAGAGTCAAGAGGATCCTGAGCGCTGTTCTCGACTCTGGAAGACTCTAATTTAATTGAAGCTTTCTGTTCACAAAGCAATAACTTTGTCAATGTGTGTGGGTGAAAACGGAGTTTTGGGATTGAGCTCCTTGCCTGTAAATGTTCCCTAAATAATTGTTATGTATATGAAACCTGTATAATAAAAAGAAAGTATTCTCAATAGAAGCTGTGAAAGTCTGGTTGTAACTTGATGTGTTTTTTTTTAATCTTCTAAGAGGAGTGGAAGAATGGCAGAGCTAATTTCTGGTTTGGCTGTGGCTTAGTTAATAAGACGGAGCAGGAAATCTCTGTGCCAAGGGGAATCTGGAGTTTCATTTTGTCTCCCTTGGAAGACTGCTCTATTGCGCCACGTCACGCACTCATCAACGGTTCTCATATGGTACCATCTTCCCCAACACAAGGGCTGTTGGGAGATGTGTGAGGGACGGTTGATTGACAACAAGAGAGGAATCCATAGTTTGGGAATCATGTCTCTTGTGTAAGGCTGCTCGGTTGAGAAACACTGTACTTATGGTGAAGTTGCCACCTCAAAATTTTGAGAATGGAAATGAGATGATTGTTGGTAAATCCTTGGGCAGATCCTCCTTGGAAGGACTTGGCATTCAGTCAAATGCAAGCAGAGGTTGTGTGGTAGGTGCTCCTGAGTGTTTTCAATCAATTGAAATTCTCCATCTTTGGGAACGTAATTATGCACATCGATCCAAGGGATCCTAATCATTTTGTCTGCTGGGCAGATCAGAGGTTAGGTCTCTGTACTTGCGCAGCAGAAGAGACCAGTAGGGCTTGTGTACTTGCTGGATGTTTGCAAGGATCTTGGATGCACACCGACAGTCCTTGATTTCAAGTTCAAGTGGCCTAGCACATCCTCCAGGAAGTGATATGTTTATAGTTTGGCATGAGTGGCTGCACTTGAACGTTGGATAAGGCTATTGCTTCAACTCCAGCCTCATAATCCTTAATTCATAACTCTCTACCAAATGGTCAGCAATTCCTGATTTAGTGTTGGCATTGGATGTTGTTAAGTAATTTAAACTCTGCCAGCCTAATACTGTGCTCTTGGCAGCCTGTTCTTGGCCACTGAACATTCCCATTAAGTTGGATTTATCTGGCTGGTATGTCAGGATCACAACTGCTTTGCATTAGAGCAGCAAAAAGGTCTCACACTGGCAGTTCTTTCTCAATCAAGACGTGAGACGTTGGGTGTTAAGAGGAAGTTATGGGGGCAAAGGGCCGAAGGAAAAAGGACTATTTTCTTATCGGCATCTTCACTTGCCTTTGGACTAGAGTCTGGCTTCGAGGAGCTGTGCTGAATTGCAGTGCAGACAGTGTTCTGGAATCAACCCAGGATTGAAGTGAGTCATAAGCAGGGCTTATGCCTGGCTCAGCGCTCAGCTCTCCTTTTTTCTCGCTCCCATTGGACACCCGAGGACAGCTACCGGGTTCCTGGGTCCAGTGCATGATAACAGGTTTTACTTCCCAACACTCTGAGCTGATGCTATGGAGAACAACCAAGCATCCTCGTGAGGTCCCTACTGAAACACTGGCTGTCTTGGCTTTCCCGTCGGTGAGAGAAGGGTTTCCTGCCCTCTGAGCACTTCCAACTCCCAGGACCATCCGGTCAATGGACTCTTGTTTTTCCCGGGGGCCAGTGTTTTTGTTTCAAGTCTTGTGTTGGTAAGAATTCTATTCCTTCCCCCTTTTCCTTCACCCTGTGCCGTTGTTGCCGGCTGGCTCTTTTTTTTTTTTTTGCTGTACGTGGGCCTCTCACTGTTGTGGCCTCTCCCGTTGCGGAGCACAGGCTCCGGACGCGCAGGCTCAGCGGCCATGGCTCATGGGCCCAGCCGCTCCGCGGCATGTGGGATCCTCCTGGACCGGGGCACGAACCCGTGTCCCCTGCATCGGCAGGCGGACTCTCAACCACTGCGCCACCAGGGAAGCCCTGCCGGCTGGCTCTTTGACAGGTTGGGCTTTTGCTTTTTATGAAGACACAAGATGCTGCTGAAGTCTTTGCCCTCTGGGAGAAGTGAAGATGCTCCTTCTTTTTCCTGGTTGCACCGAAGGAGAACCATTGTCTGCAGGCACGTGCGGTCTAACGTTTATGTATGAGAGGGACTCGGCAGGACTCTGCATCTGTAAACTGGACACCTGCCCATCCTGGTACGTGGCACCTTGGAGGTGCTCGCCTGCCTCACAGACACTTAGAGGTTCTCTGGAAGGTCAGACAGAGGGTATTTTCAATAGCACTTGATGGTTGTTTTATCTCCCAAGTGCACACAATTTAAGTTGTGCGTTAGGAAAGGGACGGTTAGTCTGTTTCTCATTTGAAATGATTTCATAACAACCATCATCCTTTTCTCTTTGAGGGCCTAGTGTCAGGGTGAGGTCTGAGACCTGAAGTTCCTGTATTTGGATGTTAAAAAACAAAACAGGATAAGGTCATGGATGGGTGAGAGACAGAGAAACTCCTAAGGCCCAGCAGTGGTGGGGATGCGGGAACCCACTGCCTATTTCACGGGGTGAGTGTTGGTTACCAGCTGTTGTGGATTCCTGTACAGGTTGCTCTGGCTTCTGAGGACTTCGGGTACAGGTCCTCCTTGACTGACGATGGGGTTAAATCCCAATAAACTTATCGTAAGTTAAAAATAGCTTTAGGTTAAAAGCATATTTACTGTACATCAACTATACCTCAATTTTCTTTTTTCTCTTTTTTTTTGGCTACACTGCACAGCTTGTGGAATCTTAGTTCCCAGGCCCTGGCAGTGAAAGCATCAAGTCCTAACCACTAGACTGCCAGGGAATTCCCTATACCTCAGTTTTCAAAAAAATGTATTTAATTCACTTAACCTATCAAATGTTAGAGCTTAGCCTCGCCCACCTTAAACCTGCTCAGAACACTTAAATTAGCCTACAGCTGGGCAAAATCATCTAACACAAAGCTTATTTTATAGTAAAGGTTTGAATATCTCATGTAATTTGTTGACTACTCAACTGCAGGTGGAAACCAGAATGGTTGTCTGGGTCCAGAATGGTTGTGAGTGTGAGTCACTGACCCTCAACTGCCACCGCCCAGCATCACGAGAGGGTATCACTAGCCCAGGAAAGGGGCAAAATTCAAACTTCGAATTATGGTTTCTACTGAATGCATATCATTTTTGCACATTGTTAAGTTGAAACGTAAGTCAAACCATCATAAGTCAGGGACCGATTGTATTTCTCTAGTCTCTTCCTTTTCCTGGGGTGTGTTGGGGTAATGAAATGGCAGTTTAGTTTGCCTTCCTTTACAGCAGGTGGAGAACCCAGGAAATAGCTGCCCTTGGCTGCAAGGGGAAAAACAGTCTGAGGTTCCTTTAAGCACGTTTTCCAGGTGAGGGAGCTTTCTCTTATCCCTGGCATGGCAGTGACCATCGCCGATGCCTCTCTGTCTGAGCTCAGTGGGCGGTGAGGCTTTTCCCTTTAGTTGGAGATAGGAAAGATTTGCTTTTGAAATTTCGATGCCGCAACGCAGGAGCATGCTCTTCCCAGGGGCGGCTGTTGCTACTTGATGATCTGATCATTGTTGATCTACCTTTCTCATGTCTCAGATACATTGAATTTCTCTTCCAGTTGACAGTCTGCTTCTCTGAAATCTGCAGGACACCAGGCTGGGGGGCTTGGTGACACCTGGAGCCATCAAAACCCGACTCCTTCCTGGTTTTGCCAACCCAGGCTGGCATTATGCCCAAGGTCCACTCATGCATGGTGTATCAAGCCTTTGTCCGCTAGCAACACAGAACATAATCTGCAGAAACAAACCTGACCTCATGATTTTTGAAAATTACTATTACATTGGAGTCCATAGTTTCATGGAATGCTCAGTTACTTTTCGCACCATCATAAACACTAATTTCCCTGCCTCGTTTGGATAACATCTCGATGCGGGAGATGGGTAGAAGGAAAGCGTGGAAACTGAGAGGAGTTGAAAGGCATAACTCCAGGGACCTCTTCGGGAAGAGCTTTGATAAGAATGTTTACAAGGTCAAATCTCAGTGGGTTTTTTTTTTTTTTTCTTCTGGTCGCCCCCTGAAGCTTGTTGGTTTTAGTTCCCAACCAGGGATTGAACCCAGGCCCTCGGGCCCTTTGCAGTGAGAGTGCAGAGTCCCAACCACTAGACCACCAGGGAATTCCCTTAGTTTTTTGTTTTTTTTTCTATTTCATGACACATCGAGTGTTCCTTGAGGCTTCCCAACAT